TTCCCCGCCCCCCCCCCCCCCCCCCCCCCCAGACAGGGTTCCTCTGTGTAGTTTTGGTGCCTGTCCTGGATCTCGCTCTGTAGACCAGGCTGGCCTCGAACTTACAGAGATCTACCTGGCTCTGCCTCCCGAGTGCTGGGGTTAAAGGCGTGAGCCACCCATGCCTGGCGAGAAGAGCAGTTCTTATTGGAAAGGGTGTTCTCATCAGGAAGCACCTCTTAGTTTGATGCTCTGCCCTTTCTTCGGAGCATTGGGCCTGTCTAAAATACAGACCGTCAGTCAGAATGTGTGTAGCCTGCACGCTGCACTTACATTTAATTACGTGTAATTTACATTACATTGCCGGCCATTTGTGCCAAGTTCTACCGGTTTCCCTGTCAGGTAATGATATGGACATTCCTTTATAAATACACTTATCTCAGCCAAGCAGTTCATGGAAGGAGAACATTAGACAAATAACGTTATCTAGGGCTCCTGGACTGTGTGAATGATACACATTGGCCCACGGAAGAGTCTCCCGGAGACGGCAGGAGCGTGCCAGCTGGTCGAGGGCAGGGGTGAGAAGTGAGTTAGAGAACGGTAGACACCATTTTGTCGGGGGTGAGGTGTCACTGCTTACCACTACGAAGGCTACGAGTTCCAAGTTCAGCTGAGATCCCACCAGTCACAAACTTTTATAGACTTGTCAATAACTGTGATATTCGTGAGCCACCGTTTCTTACACTTTACATGAATCTGTGTGTGCGTGTTTCTGTAGATCCGAGGAGAAAATTAAGCACTTCAGCCAGCTTAAATCTGAACTTTTTCTTCAAGACAACACTTTAAGTAAGATACTGTGCTTAATTACGGAACTTAGAGTAGCAGCCCAGAGAAATTTCATCCTGAAAAGACTTTTCTGGAAAGTAAGTGTCTTGTTCTTCGTCTTTAAAACTTGTCTTATCTGGTTATCAAATCTAACCATGAACTAGAATAGGAATACAAGTCGTATTCTGGTGCTGCATTTTAAAACGGTGATTATATTTAATGTCATCATGTTTTAATATTTAAAATCTTGTGAGGTACTCGATAACACGCATGTGTATGGGGAAAGATGGGACTAAATGAGAGGCACCATACCAAGCAAGTGAAACGTGGAGTTGATATTGTCCAAGGAGAGATGGTAGGCGGCCAGCTTTTGGCATGGGAGATGGAGGAAAAGGAGATTTTCTTAAGTTTCTCCACACACGTTTTCCTTTAGTAAAAATATATATTAAAAAAATGCCTTTAACATTTAAAATTAAAATATATATATATAATTGAATGAATACTGCGAATGTAATCTATGAATACCACAAATGTGATTAATATCATGAGTGTAATTAGTGAATATCATGAGTATAATTTAAAAAATAAAAAATAAAAATAAAAAAATAAATAAAGCATTCTGCTTCTGCTCTCCCCCTACCCACAACCACCACACCACTCCCAACCAAAAAGGCTTTATTTACATTTTAAAGAAAGTTTTAAGGACATGAAGATAGAAGTCTGAACTCTACCTTTTATGTATCTAGCCTCACAATAGTAAGAACCAATCAGAAAACAGCAAGCTTCAGCCCTCATTCAGTTATACTGCTTTGGTGTCAGATACTGTATATATTGTTAATAAAATCCATTTCAAGAAAAAAAATGCCTTTAAGCACAGGATTAGTATTTTTTTTTTTTTTAAGAAATGTGATCCCCAGTGAGTCCTGACAGCTTGATTCTCACGTGGTAAGTTAAAAGTGCTCCGTTCTCAGTTTTTACTGGGAGGCGTGAAGAAGTCACGGTGAGAAATGGTGGGCAGGCGTTCGGGCGGCTGCGGTGCCCCTGGCCACCCACGTGGCTGCCTCCTTCTTAGCGAGCAGCTGTGAAGTGCACAGACACTCAGTCCTTCAAGCCGTTGTGAGGTGCTTGTATGCCGGTGAATAACCGTGTTGGTGTTCCAGATGAGAGCGGCCTGCTGTCTTAGTGTGGGTGGCTCTCAGGAAGTCCCTGGGATGTGGGTTCGCTGGGCCAGCAGCCTCAAGCCAATCAAGAGGGTCAACGACCCTAATGATATGAAAGAGCAGCTGGAGAGAGTTAACGGGTCAGTTTATCACAGCAGGGTCAGGGCATTGCGCTGCACCGTCTGAATAGTCAGAAGTGGTAGATGCTATTAGGAACACGCCGTGCACACTTTGACTCTAGGAATCAGAGAGTTGTGGGGAAATACAGAGATAGGCACCAGGCACTAAAATAACCAAGGACACTGATTATGAAAATGAAATTCATATGGAAAGGCTAAAGACATTTATCTCCTCCCCAAGGAAACTGCAGACCTCCCCTGCCTGTACATTATCCACTTCATCTACCCTAATTGTGTGGATTTGTTTGCCTAAAGACCGTCTGCAGACTTCCTTAGTAAACTGAACACGTGAGGCTGTAATATTTAAAAGGGCCTTTGTTTTGGCAGGGCAGGGTAATCAGTGGGGAGCCACGATCTGGCTAGAGAAGATGCTCAGGGAACTAACCCTCCTAAAGAAGGGTTCGAGCCCAAGGCTGAGAGTCACCTCTAAAGGGAAGTGAGCAAACGGAGATGGGAGGTGTTTCAGTGCCTGGGTGAACTCACCCTGGGACACCCAGTAATCACTTAGCACCGGGACTGTCAGATGTAGAACCAGGGGCTGGAAGAGGACTGGAGGGGCGGGGCCCAGAGAAACCCACCTGGACAACCCGAACAGAGGATTTGAAGTGGATTTTTTTTTAAAGATTTATTTATTTTATTATGTATACAGTGTTCTGTCTGCATGTATCCCTGCAGGCCAGAAGAGGGCGCCAGATCTCATTACAGGTGGTTGTGAGCCCCCATGTGGTTGCTGGGAATTGAACTCAGGACCTCTGGAAGAGCAGTTAGTACTCTTAACCACTGAGCCATCTCTCCAGCCCTGAAGTGGATTTTTAAGGAGAACAGGCGCTACCTGGGGTTAGAGAGGAGGAAGCGTGTAGCTGTTGGTGGTATTGGCCTGGAGGCCATTGAAGCACCTCCAGTCTTAAAGCAAGTCTGATGTAGGTGGCGTTGCTGTGGAGCAGAAAGATGGCAGAGAATGAGGCCAGGCTGAGCTCATCCAACCCCACCCTTCATCTCTCTCATCATGTATTGTTTGTTTGTTTTTTCAAAGCAGTGTTTCTCTGTGTAGCTTCGGAGCCTGTCCTGGAACTAGCTTTGTAGACCAGGTTGGCCTCGAACTCACAGAGATCTACCTGCCTCTGCTTCCTAAGTGCTGGGATTAAAGGCGTGCACCACCAACCGCCCACCCTGAGCTGGGTGTGATGATTCCAACACCAGGTGGTACTCTCCAGCACCATCCGCCCCTTTATTCTTTGCTTTTTGTAGTACACATCTTCCATTTTTTTCTTTTTTCTCCTCAGTAAAGACCTACCTGTCCTTCAAGGCTCGGCTCAAATGCCATGGTTCTCTTCCCTGTTCTCCTTGGTGAGGAGCCGAGGCACCTTGCTCCTTTTGATTTCTGGACCTAGTCTGTGCTTACCACTCTTCGATATTTGTAGTTCGTGGCGCTCGGTTCCGTAGACACTATCTGCACGTGACTATTTGTCACGTTTGGATGTGGCCAAGGACAGAGGCAGTGGAATTTTAACTTTAGTCAATTTAAATAGTCCCCCTGGTAGCCGGTGGCTACTGTACTGTGCAATGTCAATTTTCAGCATCACCAGTAGCATTTTAATAATTCGGCAAACATTTATTACATTCCTAATCAGTGTGAGGCGTGGTCACAGGCATTAGACATGGAAGTGTGATTGGGACAGAGTTCTTATCCTCAAGAACCAGGCATGGCTACTCCAGCTGTTGACTCAGGGCTCTAACCTACCACAGCATGCTCAGGCCCAACACAGTGCATGCATATCCCATGTCCTGGAAGCTATTTTATTAAATTGAAATCATATTCTCCTGTGAAAAAATAATCTGTTGTGAAGTTTAGGAATAAAACCACCCATTTCATGCTTCACACTTGAAAATACTAGTCCCCTTCAGCATAACGTCATTAGCTGGACTAAAAGAGATCTTTGAGTTCAGTTTGTGGAACGTGAAAGAACAGAGTGAATAGAGGTCACAGGGGTATATCTTTATTTTAAGTCTTTCCATGTTTTCGTGGGTCCTCCATGGTCCTGACCATATGCACCACAGATATCCGGGAGTTTTATCTTCACTGTCTGTCTTTGCCACAACCCAGGTCTGTTCTCATGTTCATTTACTCAAAGTTAGCATCTCTGACTAAGGAAGACATCATTCTCAAATCCTTTCAAGAGGATTAACCTTTCTATTAAAAAGATTATCTTTCAGCCGGGCGGTGGTGGCGCAGGCCTTTAATCCCAGCACTCGGGAGGCAGAGCCAGGCGGATCTCTGTGAGTTCGAGGCCAGCCTGGGCTGCAGAGTGAGTTCCAGGAAAGGCGCAAAGCTACACAGAGAAACCTTGTCTCAAAAAAAAAAAAAAAAAAAAGAAAAAGAAAAAAAAAAAGATTATCTTTCACGGCCAGCCGCAGCTAAAGCCCTGGCAGGCTTTGGGAGCCAGAGCCTGGGTGATATCCCCTGGAGCTCACACTGAAGCAGAGAGATTAGAAGCACTTCCAATGTTCGGTGCTGGGTAAGAAAATCAAAATTTCCGTCTACATTTCCTCTTTAGAAGTCAACTTTGTGGGGCAAGAGAGATGGCTCAGTGGTTTGTTGCTCTTGCGGAGGACTGGGGTTCAGATCCCAGCACTGTAACAGATCAGCCCATAAACACTCGCGTCTACAGCTTCAGGGGATCTGATGCCTTGTTCTGACCTCCCCAGGCACCCCCATCTAAGTAGTGTGAGCTGTCACTCATCATCAGAGGTCGGGGAAACCATGAACAACAGGGGTCTAGGAAGGAGAAGCGATTGCGCACTTCTTGTACCGCCTTCCTGATTTTATGGACGGCTTATTTTCATGCTTAGCTGGTGGACTTGAGCAGGAACACAGAAATATGAGTTGCTCAAATCTAAGTGTGTGTTTGGATAAAAATGACAATCTGTATTTCAATCGTATCATCAAAAATATTCATCTGTTTTTCCACTGCTTTTATTGGCTATTATTACACTGTTATTACACTATTTTTACATGGCACACTAGGCTTCGTGTCACTCAACTCTTTTCATGGCCTTACCATGGCCTTACATGTACTTCTGGATGGCCTTCATCGATGCCGGGGCCCGGACTCACTGAAATCCCAGCTCTTGGTATTTCACCTGGATGACAGTGTCTTCTGTTTGAATTCCGCTGGTTTTAAGAAACTGTTGTAAATCACTTCTTGAATGGAAGAGATGTTTTCTCTGTCCTGTTATGTGTGGGCGGAGTTTTAACAATTGGCGGCTTCATTATTTCCTTCCCCACTTGCTTTTGCAGACCAGTGAGCTTTTCTACTTCCTAGTGAACAAGCTTCATGAGTATTTGCCAGAGTCCAGGGATAAGAGTGCTCTTCAAAATAAAAGTCAAAGAGTCAACGAGCTGGTGTAAGTACTAACTAGAGAATCAATGAGCTGGTATAAGTACTAACTAGACATCCACGAGCTGGTGTAAGTACTAACTAGAGAATCAATGAACTGGTATAAGTACTAACTAGACATCAACAAGGCTGGTGTAAGTACTAACTAGACAATCAACAAGCTGGTGTAAGTACTAACTAGACAGTTGGATATTAGTCCTCTAAGGCAGAGGTTCTCAATCTGTGAGTCGTGATTTCTTGGGCTCCGTACCTGATATTTACATTATGATTCATAATAGTAGTTTAATTACAGTTATGAAGTAGTGAAATAATTTCATGGCTGGGGGTTACCACAACCTGAGGAACTGTGTTAAAGAGTCACAGCGTTAGGAGGGTTGAGAACCAGTGTTGTAAGGTGTTAAAAATAAATGGAAGATACTAGACAAAATATATGCACTATTAACGGTTAGGGGTACTGCAACTTTTGCTTTACATAGATTTTTAAATTTTTATTTTGTTTTGTTTTTTGAGACAGGGTTTCTCTGTGTAGCTTTGCACCTTTTCCTGGATCTCACTCTGTAGACCAGGCTGGCCTCGAACTCACAGAGATCCGCCTGGCTCTGCCTCCCGAGTGCTGGGATTAAAGGCGTTCACCACCACCACCTGGCTTAGATTTTTAAATTTTAAAAATTATTTCTTTATTGTTATTTAATTTTCTGAAACAGGGTCTTGTACTCTGGAATATCCTAGAACTCACTATGTTGACAGGCTGGCCTCAAACCTCTCTTTCCCAAGTGTTGGGATCATAGATTATGCTACCACGCCATGCTCTCACATGAATTTTTTAAAATAGCATTTAAAACATTTTTAGTACCCATACAAGGAATTAGTAATAAGGACTGCCCTCAAACGGGGAAATAGCTGCCTCAGAGAGAGACATATTTAAAAAAGGAAAATCAGGGGTTGGAGATATAGCTCAGTGGGGGTAAGAGCACAAAGTGCTCTTGCAGAAAACCCGTCAGTTCTCAGCTCCCACATCTGGTGACTCACAACCCCCTGTGACTCCAGCTCTGAGGTGATCCAGAGCTCCTGGCCTCTGTGGGCACCTGCACTCATGTGCACAAACCTATATTCAGGTAGACACATACAAATATTTGAAAATTAATCATTGGAAAAAAATTATGCATTCAAAAATGCTCATGCTTGATCCTGACATGAAGCTCTCGTTCAGTCAGTAGGCACTTTTTGACCTCCTACTGTATAGTAGCCCCAGGCAAGGTACTCAGCCAGGGCTGGCAATTTGATGCACAGAGTTTGATGGACAGTTTGCTAAATGAATATCTGAGAGCAGTTCTCTCAAGGCTCACTGCTTTTGTGGGATTCTGACCTTGTGGAGCCATGTCATTTTCGTTGTTTATGTTTTGTTTTCTCTTATTTCCTAGGGCATGTATTGAAATTACACAGACCCTAGGACAGATGTTCAGAGAAACAGAAGTTGAATCATCACGACTGAGCACGCTGGCAGCTAAGAAGTAAGGATTTGTGTGTGCGTATGTTTTTTTGTGTTGTTCTTTTGTGTTTTAAGAAGACGTTGGGACCATGTAGTCTCTGCCGATGCTTTTACTGTCTTCTGTGTACTGCTCTCGTTGGCGGCGGGAACCGGGGAGACTAAAGTCTCATGCCATAGCCAGCTGAAGTCAGAGCCTCAGGCAATGCATACTCTGAGCGTTAAGAAGAGTCGCCTGAGTAAAGTGTGCAGTCACAAGGACAAGCTGCACATGGCAAAACCGTGTTTTCCCATGGAGGCATATGAAAAACAACAGCTGAAGTGAACTCACTCCTGTCTGCTGCACCTGGGTGTAGACGAATGCTAACTGGTCTTAATAAATAAAAAACCCAGAGCCAGATATCCGGGTTAAAAATCCAAGAGACCAGAGAAATAGGAAAAGCCACAAGCCAACCTCACCTCACCGACACCTCAGCTTCCAAAGAGAGACCTACTTCCTGTCTACCCACACTTATATGCCTTTCTGCTCTGCTATCTCATTTGCTCTCTCTGTCTAGCTACATTACTTCCTCTTCCGGCCCAGCTCTGTCACTTCCTGTGTGTCTGTACAGACCTCCAAACCTTTACGGTTAACTAGTGTTGGAATTTAAGGCATGTGCCACCACTGCCTGGCTCTGTTCCCAGTGTGGCCTAGAACTCATTGAGACCCAGATGGATCTCTGCCTCCCGAGTGATAGGATTAAAGGCGTGTGCTACCATTGCCTGACTTCTGTGTTTACTCTAGTGGCTGGCTCTTTCCTCTGATCCTCGGATAAACTTTATTGGGTTGCACAGATAAAATAATCACTACACCTGGGAGGGGCATGGAAGCACATTCCAAGAATAATTCTGTGTTTTTTTGAAGAAACTGAGGTCACAAGACTCTCGTTTTCTTGGAGTTTTCTCACAAGCACCGAGAATTCCCCTCGCACCTCTCTGTTCTTGATCCGTGTTCCAACAGTCTCCTAAAACTCCCTGCCCTCTCTCTTCCCTGTTCAGCCCTGTGCGCACATTACACTCCTATCTCCCCATGTCCTTTTGAGCTGTGGAGATTAATTGGCACCTGCTGAATTCTTTCTGCCCCTCTGCACCAGTAAGGGTACAAAGGTTTTCTTAGCATAATACCTTCTGTTGTAGTTCGGTAGACTTGAAAAAGACCAAATGACCCATCATGCAGTAAAAACCTTCGAAACAGAATCTCCATTAGAATTTATGCACAGCTGAAAATTATATTTGCTAAAGTAAGAGTTACTGTAGTCATATTTTTATTCATAGTTATGGGCTGCTTAACCATGGGGGTGTGTCTACTTATAGAAATTTAGTTGGGATAGCCTACTAGACACCTAGGCTATATGGCACATATAGATGTATACACACACATATAAAACATGGAATGTATGTGTATATTTGTACATATATTCATATCATGCTGCCTAAGGCCATTAAACAATAAGTGATTCAGTCACCAAGAGAACATGATGCAAGTGAGATTCAGTAAAGAGATGCATGAGATCTATGAAGGCTGTTGCCTTCATCACATTGCATACTCTTTATTTTATGAGTGGTTTGCTTGCGTGCATATTTGTCTGCACACCATGTGTATGCAGTACTGAGGCCAGAAGAGGGCGTCAGATCACCCAGGACTGGAGGTGCCGGAAGTTGTAAGCCAGCCACCCTGTGGGTGCTGAGGATGAACTTGCATTTCCCTCGGGAAGAGCAGCCGATGCTTTTAAGAGCTGAGGCCTCTCTCCTGCCCCAGCATACTCTGTTTTAGTAAATTATGTACACATAGGCACACACTCTAAGATAATGATTGAAAGCCGTAGTAGAGTAAATCCATGAACCAGTAACATCGCTGTTATAAAAACCAAGCATTATGCTGTGATTAGTAGAATTGTTGTGCTATATTTTTATAAGACGTGAAACACAGCATGTTGATTAGTAGCTCTGCGTCACGTGTGTAATGCTGTGTAGGAAGAACAGTGCTAGGATGGCTGTAGTTCCATCGTGTGATAGGAAGGGTGTTTTTCTTAAATATATATATATATATATATATACCATCTGCCTCTGCCTCCCAAGTTCTGGAATTAAAGGTATGTGTCACCACTGCCCAGCGATTAATTATTTTTAAAAATGTGTATGTGTGTGTGCCTGAGTGTGTATACGTGCACCACATGTGTGCAGGAGCCTTTGAGGTCAGAAGAGGGCTCTGGATGCCCTGAAACTGGAGTTCCAGGCACTTATGAGCCACCATGTGGGTGCTGGGAACTGAGCCAGGGTCCTCTGCAAGAGCAGTAAGCACTCTTAACTACCAAGCTGCCTCTTTAGCCCCAGGAATGGGAAGTTTCTGCTTTATAATCTCAGAGACCATACTTCAGCATGCTGTCACTGAGGACAGTAACATTGCCATGTAGCACATGACTGTAACTGTGACCTTTCATGAATGACCTTGTAAGTTTTACTAATGGGGAGGATGCAGTGCCAAAGAAAGGTATTTTAATGTGGTCTAACTGATAGTTTCCCTTGACCCAGTAAAACAAAACAAAACCTCCCCTCCATGCTTATGCAAACAACCCTATTTAACTTAGTGGACACACACTTGCACACACACATACACACACACACACACACACACACACACACACACACACAAAAGCAGAGAGGAACTTGTTGGGGAAGAGGGTTTCAGTCGGGGAGGGGAGTTCGGCAGGGGAATTGGGAGTGAAAATGGCTAAAATTCCTTACCTACATTCATGAAACCGTCAAAGGATAAATAAGAAGCATGCGTCCAAAGGAATGTGGAGACGTGAACCTTTCCCACACAGCAGTCTAGCATAAGTAGTGAGGCTTTCCTCTGCAGGGCCAGCCAGGGCTCAGCTTCCTCCTTTTTGTATTCTGTTATGTTAAAAACATTTTATTTATTTATTCAAACGGTATACACTGTGCTTTTCCCAATGGCTCTCATATTCCCACCCCCATCTCCCTTACTACTTCATGTACTTTTTTTTTTTTTAAACCACTGAGTCTGATTGGTGCTATTGGTATATATATGGATGAGTGTAGCGCCATCTCCTGCAGCGTGGGCTGCCTATCATGGATGGCCACATCCAGAAGAAAACTTGAGACCCCCTCCCCCATTAACCATCAACTGCCCAGAGTGCCCGCTCCAGGTGGAGGTTTGTGAGCCCTCCCCCATCCTTGCTGGGATTTTGATTGGCTCGATCTTACGCAGGACTTGTGCACACAGTCACAGCCATGGCCGTGAGTTCACGAGTGCACTGGGCCTGTCACATCCAGAAAAAACAAAATTGAAGCATCTCTTCCCAGCGTTTCCCTCTTCCTGCCCCTCATCTGCAATGATCCCAGAACCCCGGAAGGAGGAGGTGTGACTGATCATAGATGTCCCACTTAGGGCGGAGCTCGCCACAGTCTCTTCATACTGCAGGTCAATGACCAGTTGGGGGTCCCTGTACTAGCTGCCATCTCCGGTAAAAAGAAACTTCTCTGGTGAGATTGAGAGAAACAGTAATCCAGTGGTTCAGGGAAGTCAGATCCCAGAGGAGCTCAGTGCCCATAGGGTGCCAAGGGGAGGCTTTCCTGGCAGAGCCTACCATGTGTTTTTTTCTGGTTTTTAAAGACTGATTTATTATTTTGTATTTATGTGTGTGTGTGTGTGTGTGTGTGTGTGTGTGTGTGTGTGTGTGTGTGTGTGTAAGTTTATGTGTACCGTGTATGCAGTAGCCCACAGAGCCAGAGAGGGCATCTGGTCTCTGGGAGCTGGAATTACAGGTGGTTGTGATCTGCCTGACATGGGTGCTGGGAACCGAACCCAGGTCCTCTTCAAGAGCACTGGTGACTGCTGAGCTATCTCTCCAGCCCCCGCCTGCCATCTTTCTCATGCTGTCCTTGTCCTCATGATTGAGGTGACCTTCAAGGGAAGCAGAAGGGAACCAAGGGCAGGAAGAAGTTCTTCTTAAGCAAGGTCTATAGCAATTCTACCGGTTTCTGCTTTTTGCTATCCCAATTCAAAACAAAACCCAAACCACACCCTCCCTTGGCTATAAGGGTGGCCTTTAATTGTTCTAACTTGGTTTGACCCTATCAGCTTTAGCAAACCTTCCTCCCAGACAAGGCTAGCTCTTTTCCTAGCCTTCAGTATGTGTGCTCAAATAGTAGAGTGTGGTGATAATGTTGATTTTTAGGCACTTTTGATATGCCTAGGATTACCATGAAAACAAAGATGTAATATGATAGTATTAAATCTATTGCCCTGTGACAAATTGCGTAAGCTTAGCGAGTTAAACGTTTGATTATTCTTTCTCGTCTCTATGGATCAGGACTCTGGGCAGAGTTAGCTGGGTCCTGGGCTCCTTAGTCCAGACTTTTCCATTGTGGGGTTGACTGGATTCAGTTCCCTCCTAAGCTCATGTGAGTGGTGTTTGAGAGAGCAGCTGTAGTTGGCAGGCTCCATCCGTGAGTTCTGAGAATTAGATCATTCCCACCCAGGATCATTTCCTCTGAACTGACTGAAAAGTCAGCTAATGATGGGCCTTGGTTTGTATGTGATGAGTCCTTCATATTTACAGTCTAATATAGCCCAGTCATGAGTGATAGCCACTTACAGTCACAGGTCCTGTAGGCTCTGTATACTCCTGTGGGATAGGAGTGTTGGAGGCCATATTAGAATGCTACCTTCCACAATATCACAGACTACTTAACCTCCAACATTTGTGCTCTAAAATAGAGTATAATATACTTAAAATCCATGTATCATAAATAATAATCTGAATAATAAAATCATTCAATTGTTGGGACAGTTTTTAAGTCTGTGATGTCAATCCTAGAAGTTGCTATTTTTGGGATGAAGCTACGTTTTGACTAATTGTTGGTCCAGAGAGTTTTAAATTAAGTCAGTTGGTAGAAAGGGTGAATTTCAAATTAAATTCCATTTGAGGAAATAAAGAAGCAGTGTTCATTTAGCGTTTCCTCTTTATTATTTCCAAAAGTGGGAAATTTGTTAGTTCAACTCACCTTGCTGCATTCTTGAAATGTGCCATGTTCTTTTGTACTTTGGTGGTGTTGTGGTCGAATTCATATATTATCGCAGTAAGCGACCTAGAACTTCTGAGTTCTTTCTCTCAGATTTGAAAAGAAACTGTTACTGAAAATAAAGGACTGTAATTAAATAGAATGAAGAACAGAATGTCAGTTCAAACTTCAAAGCTTCAAAAAGGAGTGTTCTTGGGCTGAGGAGATGGTTTAGTGGGTAAGGGGGCATGCTGGGAAAGCGTGGGAACCTGAGTTCAAATCCCCAGAATGGACATAAAAGGCCTGGCAAATGTGCTTGCCTGTAACCCCAGTGCTGGGGGTGGGGTGGGGCATGGACAGGGAGATGGCTGTGGCCTCCAGCCAGCCCAGTTCCATGTTCAATGAGAGACCATGTTTGAAGGAGTAAGACAGAAAGTAATAGCCTAAGATAACAGACTCCCTCTTCTGCATGAGCATAGGAACATGCCCAAACACACTTGTGCATGTACAACACACACAAACACAAACACACAGAAGAGTATTAGAAATAAAAAAAAAAAAAGGAATGTTCTTTTGATGGGGAAGGCCTTCTAAAAGTGAGTTTGACTGTTTTGTTATTTTATTACTTGAGAACAGGTCTCATGTTGCCTACACTGGGCTCAACACTGTGTAGCTGAGGATAACTGTGATCTTCCTGCCTCTACGCCCTCAAGCACTCAGCCTGTAGCCATGTGCCTTCATGCCCATCAGTGCTGATGCTCACACCCAGGGCCTGTACATGCTGAGAAAGCAGTCTGCCAATTGAGTTACACTCCCCGCTCCAAGACTGGCCATTTCAGATAGCACAAATAAAACAGTAGATAGTATGAATGACCTTTACTATTGTGTGTGTGTTTAGAAATACAGTGCATGTTAAGAATTAGACTAGTGCTGGGGATGTCTTTCTGTATGCTGTGAGTGTGTGTTGCTCTGATTTGTTTGATAATTAAACACTGATTGGCCAGTAGCCAGGCAGGAAGTATAGTATAGGCAGGATAAGCAGAGATGAGAATTCTGGGAACAGGAAGGTTGAGTCAGGAGTCACCAGCCAGACACAGAGGAAGCAGGATGTGAAGGCAGAACTGAGAAAAGGTAAGAGCTAGTCAGTGGTAGGCCTGAGCTAATGGCTGAGCAGTTTTAATTAATATAAGCCTCTGTGTGTTTACTTGGGTCCAAGCAGCTGCAGGGCCACGGGAGCCAGGCAAGACCAGGAAAACTTCAGCTACAGACCAGCTTTTTGAGTTGGAAAACAGAACTGTATATTTCTTAGCATTTTGGTTGACTATGGGCTTCTGATCATGGTAATGATTTAAATAATTGTGAAAAGCCTAGGAAGTTTATAGTGTTCCTAGTTTCATTGTGAAAAGTGCATTCATGCTCATAGAGAATGTGTGTGTGGTCCTACCATTAAATTATTTCACTACTGCTGTACCTCAAAGCTATGTTATTGTTTCCTGTTTTATAGCTGGTATTCCTTACTTCTTCCCACTCTCCCTTCCTGCCTCTTTACTTCTTTCCTTTCTTTGGTTTTCGCTTAAGACAGGGTCTCATGTAGTTCGGGGTTGGCCCTGAACACACTACAGCTGAGGATGACCTTGAACTCTGTAATCCTCCTGCCTCTACCCAAGTGACTATGCCTAACTTCCTCCCACACCTTTTTAATTATTAAATGACATCTTACTGTGTTGCCTGAGAAGGTCCTGGATTTCTGGGTCCAAATGATCCACGTCCTTCAGCCACCCTGCTAACGAGGGAGACATCACTGTGCTCAGTGAGTTCATAGTCCTGTGGCTTGCTTTCGGCTCCATTTCAGCCACACATGGACTTGTACTTAGCATTTGAAGATACTCTTATAGACTCAGTTTTTCAGGATGCACAGTTTCAATTGTGACTCTTTTTTTTATTGTTAGGTAATTAGGTATCATATACTGTCAACCATGTGTACGACTTGTTTGTGTGGGTTAATGGACAGTTAAAATGCATCTGAAGGAAAAGACCTCAGCTTTAAAATGAATTTATTCACCAATAGCTAATAATGTTTAATGGTGCAGAAGATCCTTAAAAGGCTCAGTTTAGAAAAAAAAAAGGGAGGGGGCTCTGAAGTAAAAACTTGGGGTCAAATGAGCATTTTAAGAAGTATTTCAGCAGGGCGGTGGTGGTGCACGCCTTTAATCCCAGCACTCGGGAGGCAGAGCCAGGCAGATCTCTGTGAGTTCGAGGCCAGCCTGGTCTACAGAGCGAGATCCAGGACAGGCACCAAAAACCACACAGAGAAACCCTGTCTCGACAAACAAACAAACAAACAAACAAAAGTATCTCACTTTAGGGGTTGGGGATGTAGCCCAGTACATGTCAGGTGCTACTGAGACTTGACCTGACTGAGGTAGTGAGGGAATAAAGAATGAACAGACACACTGGGGTCATGTGACCCATGCTTGCTCTGACGGAGAGCACCTACTATGCACAACAACCCAGAACCTCATCAAGTTTATTGTATATTGCAATTTTATTTAAATTTCTACAAAAATTAAAATAAACTCATTTTGAGATAGTCACCTGCTTGTCTAAACGTCCAAAAACTCAGTTAAATGTCTGGGGGAAAAAGAAAAAAAAGATGTTCCATGTCAGTTAGGAAAATTCAAGCTAAGCACAACATACATTTAGCAGGGTGGTGTTGGTACATTCCTTTAATCCCAGCACTCAGGCAGAGGCAGGTAGATCTCTGAGTTTCAGATCTGGTCTACAGAGCAGGCCAGCCAAGGCTACATAGAGAAACCTTGTCTCAAAAAATTAAAAAGAGAAAAAAAATAGTGTCTGTAAGTTTGACTCCATTATTTTCCTTCTAAAAGCTTTACCCATTCATGGCTTTTTATTGATTTTTTTTTTAGGGGAACACTGTTTAATCTCTTAGTGATTTTAGTGAGCAAGCCCAAGCTTCCAAAGTCTTGCTCCCCATCGAATGACCAGCCGCCGTGTGATTCAACGTCAGCCGACATCTCCTTCGATGCTCAGGTGAGAAAAGAATTTGGGGGGTCGGCTGCAGCATAGAGGGGCTCTCGTTTCTCTGTTCTAATGTGGAGCATGATGCTGCAGAATACAGAAGTATGTGAACGTTAAAGAGGACATTTTTTTGTTTGTTTGTTTTTCGAGGACAGGGTTTCTCTGTGTAGTTTTGGTGCCTGTCCTGGATCTCACTCTGTAGACCAGGCTGGTCTTGAACTCACAGAGATCTGCCTGGCTCTGCCTCCCGAGTGCTGGGACTAAAGGCGTGCACCACCACCGCCCGGCCAAGAGGATATATTTGATTATTAACCTAAAATCTTAGCGATTTGGCCAATATTAATGTATCTATGTTTTCAGGTATATAAACTAAGGAAAATAATAATGTTTAAAAATGACATTCATCTGCCCAAATGTCTCTGTGAATATTATTCCAATACATGTAATTCTATAGCGGAGATTTTACCAAAAGACAAACAAACAAAAAACCTGCAAAAGAATGTCTTCCAAATGTCAAGGTCAACTTGGGCTATATTTTATCCTAACAAGTGTTTAGTGCTCATGCAATGAGTCACTTCTTTTTCTAATGTTTTAGCAAATCATTAGATATAGCATTAAACTGTATAGAAAGCATATTTTCAAGAGAATGTATGCACTTATAATCAATTTATCTTGAGCCAAGTCAACATTGATTTTTTTTTTCCTAAAGGGTGGGACATGGTTTGATGTTTTTTTTGTTTTTTTGTTTGGTTTTTTGAGAAAGGGTTCCTCTGTGTAGCTTTGGAGCCTGTCCTGGATCTCATTCTGTAGACCAGGCTGGCCTCGATCTCACAGAGATCCGCCTGGCTCTGCCTCCTGAGTGCTGGGATTAAAGGCGTGCGCCACCGCCGCCTGGCTGGTTTGACAGTTCTTAAGCAGACAATTAGAGTTATGTTTTAGAAGGTAAAATATGCGTATCCCCTCAGTACGTATTTACTAATTTATTTATTAGAGCAAACTGTGCTGGGCAGAGGTCCAAAAAGTAAACAAAGCAGACATAATTTCTGCAGCCACAAGTTCGACAATACTCACCATCAAACTAGTTCATAAGCTGGCGAGAGGGACAGATGTCCATGAGACGTACCAGGCCTGTACGTGGAACATCTGACACACTCCTTGAAACGGGAGAGTGAATGAATAGAGACTGGAGAGTTGGTGAGACGCGGTACACAGACAAGTTCAGCTGTTAAGCTACTGTATACATGGTATGGTGACGCATGCCCGGCAATCCCGCACTTGAGAAGTGCAGGTGAACGGAGAGCTGTAGGTCAGCCTTGCACTGTATAGTAAGAACTTTTCAAGGAAGGGGAGGAGGAGGAGGGGGGGGGAGGAGGAGGAGGAGGAGAAGAGTGGGAGTGCAGCTTAGTTGAGGGATGACGGAAGTCAGAAGGAAGCCCTGGAGTAGAGAGGTAGTTCAGCAGTTAGGAGCACTTGCTACTCTTGGAGAGGGGCCAAGTTCAGTTCCAAGCACCCACATTACCAGTAACTCATAACTATGTGTAACTCTAGTTCTAGGGGTCTAATGCCCTCTGTGGTATACATATATACATGCAGGCAAAGCATACACACACATATATGTATATATATTTAACTTTTTGAGACAGGGTTTCTTTGTGTAACCCTGGCTGTCCTGGAACTCGCTCTGTAGACCAGTCTGACTTTGAACTCATAGAGATCTACCTGCCTCTGCCTTCCAATTGCTGGGATTAAAGGTATGTGTCACCCAGCTAAAATAAATTTATCTCAAAAACAAAAGAAGAAGAGGGAAGCTTTTCCTGGCCCCCAGAAGAGACTAGCCCTCTTCCGAGCTGTCTTAACTTGAAATGTTTTTCTTTAGGACCTTTGACTCAGTTCATATCTGTGCATTTCCTTACTCAGTTGCTAGCTTGGCCTTGTTTCTTTGGTAGGCTGTGTATTCAACCAGGGTAGGCAGGGAGCCTCCAATGTCTAACACAGGGTCTGATGCATGTTTGTTAAATAAATGCACCAAGAGGAAGAGAGATGCTAACTCATGAAGAGGGTAGATTCCAGAATATCTTAGAAATCTGAACTGACACCTGACATGAAAATCAAGTATGGAATCTAGAAGACACGTTTTAGAATCTGGCCTAGAGTCAGATACGATCCACAGCAAGAAGACTGGTTTCAATGGGGAAGCCCTGAGCTTGGTTTTGTGTTTGTTAGTCTGGATGACGAATAGTATTTCCCCACGAAAATGTCTTGTGGGCAAAACGGACGGGTGTAGGTTTCATGTCTGCAGGACGTTCAGATCTTCTGCACTGGGCAATCGGTGTGGCCATCAAGAGACAGCACAGATTAGGTCACCAAGTATAAGAGGACAGGAGACACCAGAGTTCATCCTGCACACAGTATGACGGCAGGGCCTAGGCCTGGAGCATGTCCATAGGCAGTTCTTGTGATCGGAGTGGCTTATGTGCCCTCTCAACTGCCTGGAGATCTCGTGAGCAGAGGTCTCTGAGTCCCGTTTATGCCCATTCCATAGAAGGAATAGAAATTCAAGCTGGCACAAGCCCAAATCCCTTAGAGAACCTCTGGCCTCAATCTTAAGGAGCATGTTTACACCGTGAAAGGAAGTAAGGTTGTTGATCTGACTGATACTGTGGACCCCAATGTGCAGATTTTCCATGTTTTTGTCTAGATTACTGTATCTTTCCCTAATCCACATGTGGGTCATTAAACATTTTGTCTCTTTACCGGAGTAGCTTTGTTCTGGTGGTACTGGGGATTGAACACATGCGAGGAAAGCACGCTAGCGTTAAGCTATAGTCCACAGCTCTCTTTTCACTTTTCATTTTGAGACAGGGTCTCACTAAGTGGCCCATACAGGCCCTGAATTTGTGATCTCCGTGGCCCAGGCTCTTTAGTGTCTGGAATGACGTGCCTGAGTCAGCCAGCCCAGCATGAAAGCCACCTTTCTGGGAATGAAAAGTGGACATCACACATAAAAATTTAAGTCAGAAATCCTTTGTCAAGGACCTGAAGGGAAATGGCTTTTGTGGCCCAGCCTGTGGCAGTACATTGATGATTACTGGATATTCTAGTTACAGGCGCTCATCCTGGAATACACAGACACGGCGACAGCCCTGCTCTATGAGATCCTTCTTGTCTTTCAGCAGGTACAGCACATATTTTATTATAATTCTAATTTGATTAGGTTATGGTCAACAGTGTAACATTTTTGGGAGGACAGTCTCTAAAACTGGCCTCAGGGATACTCCCTTCTCCTCAGGGCTATTACAGGTTTACAGATACTGATTTTTAAAGATTTGATTGATGCTGGGTGGTGGTGGTGCACGCCTTTAATCCCAGCACTCGGGAGGCAGAGGCAGGTGGATCTCTGAGTTCGAGGCCAGCCTGGGCTACTGAGTGAGTTCTAGGAAAGGCACAAAGCTACACAGAGAAACCCTGTCTTGAAAAACAAACAAACAAACAAACAAAAAAAAACAAAAACAAAAACAAAAAAAAGATTTGATTGATGAGGATTGGATAAAAACGTATTTGGGAGTGAGAATTCGTTTAGATCCGACTTAGACTTCAGGAATATAACTTGTGTCCTTGAGTTTCTAGGGAAATCTTGGCTTGGGATCCACAAAGTTTGCTATTAGCTGGATGATGTCCTTTCTACAAAGCTGCCCTCCCACGGTGAGTATTGAGCAGAAAAAGGCCCGGCTTACCCGATGCTATGTGCTTAATTAATAAAACACAGGCATTGTCCTAGGATTTACTTGAGTCCACAGAGCAGAAGCAAAAGATAAAACTTGATGATTTTATTATTTAATGAAAAGAAAATGTTTTTATATTTGAGACCGGAATTAAGTGTATTAAAGTTAGGGCTTAAGATTAGCTTTATTCTATTTAAAAAACCTTGAAGATATATGTAGCAAACAAAATGTTTAGTTACTGGCTTGTAATGTGACTAAAATGATGGACATTTGCCATAAGTAGAAAATGAGCAGAACACTTGTGATTGCTATGTGCTCTGCCCCTGCAGCCAACACCCTGCTCCCAACTCTGACGTCTTCCAAGATTCCATTCACATCCAAATGGTCCATGTCTGTCATTCTACTAAATCGTGGCCAGAGGGAGCTATTTAAAACAAAAATGGGATTGCCGTGCCTTGCTGTCAGCTGGGTGATCTCTGGGCAGCTTTTCCCTTTGCCAGCCTCCCTCCCAGGCCCACAGGGCGGGGCATCTTAGAGCTTTGCCTCCTCATCTGGTCCCTCCTTCATCCTGCCCTGCACATCTCTCACCTCAGTGGCCAGCCCCCCTCCCCCACTGACTCCACTGCAGGATCTTTCCCTCTGGGTAGGTCCTATTCTCTTACGTTACAACAGAGTGCCACAGAGTGGGTGATTGATAAAGGGCAGAGGTTCATTTGGCTGGCTCATTTTGGAGGCTGGTTGGTTCAAGATGGAAGAACCATATCTCAAGAGGCTCTTGTGGTGTCCTTCCATGTCACACTTGGGGGGTTGGTTTTCTAACACCTGAAAACACAAGCTGTAGCAATCTGTGTCTGAAATACCCTTCCCCCCTCTCCCGGCCAGTTAACCCCCACTCATCTCTGAGTCCTCAGTGCCAGTTCCTGGAGTGGGAAGGTGATTCTCTGACCTTCTCACAGGGTCAGATCCCCCCTCACAGTCACACAGTGGACACCGTGGCGTGCCTTCCTCCCCCCTTGAGCTTGTCACTGTGGCAGTTTGCACTGGCTTCTGTTGTCCTGTGGTTCTGTCCTGTGGTAGCTGTCGGTGGCCTGTGTCTCCCAGCACACTTTCCACTAGGCACCTGGTGAGACTGGACCTCTCTCTTCACTTGATGACTTTGGCCTGAGTCACTCTGGGCAGAAGTGCGAGCTTGTATAGCACGCTTCCCTAGGCTCACTTTTCCTGCTGGAATGCTACCTATAGCGTTTCCCGCGGTGATGGTCCCGCCCACTGGTGCTCCCGAGTGACCTGGAAGGGCTGTGTAGTGTGAACAAATGACAGAGATTTTTCTGTTCCGTACCGAGCGCTGGTGAGCTGAGGTTTGTTACAGATTAGTCTATCATGACAGAGACAATGGCTGTCTCCATGGGGCCTGAAGACAGGAATATGTCTAGAGTGCTAGATGCTCAACAAAATATCTAATGAACTAATCTTTGTGAAACCTTCATCCCTCAAATCTCTTCCCACTTCCCCGAACTTAGTTTCCCTCTGCTCATTCATGTGTTCCATGAGTCAACACATGTTTTTACCAGAAATCTCTTCAAAAGGTAGTGTTTGGGGCTGATGAGATCGCTCAGTGGGTAGAGGTGATTGCTGACAAGCCTGTGGAAATGAGTTTGCTCCCTGAACCCAGTGTGGTGGGAGAAGGGAAAACTTCCATGAGCTGTCTTCTGAATTGCACAGGTGGGTCGTGGCCTGCACACCATAGCACACATATGTACGTACACACACACACATACACACACACACACACACAGAGATAAGGTATCGAGTGGAGTTCTTGTCACGAGGTAATGTATTCTCTTTCCATATGTGAGCGTATGCCCGGTGGACCCATTCCCAGCTGTGAACTACTTTTCCAGAGCGATGACATTCAGTGTGTTCTGAAGAGTCTGTCATCCCTTGACAGATAGATCCCTATGACACAGTTACGCAAAGCTGGCCAGGGCCATGGTGCACATTTATCGGTAGACTAGCCTACTGCCCAGAAGAGATGAAGGCCGCGATGATGGCTCCTTCAGCAGTGCGCGGAGCTCAGCCGGTCTCAGAATCGTCCAGGAGCACCATAGTTTTTATTTAACCATATTTGTCTATGCAGTATGAAAGACCCCTACTTACCTTATGCAGCGATCGTAGGCTCTACGATCTGGCTGAGTTCCTAAGGATCTCAAACAAATATGGAAGTCCCTCAATCACTCTTGAAAGGAACTGAGTCTAGTCTGAGGCCAGTCTGTGACCATGAAACCTGTCAGGATGAAAGGCACCCCGAGGCAAGGGAATACGGACACGTGAAGGTATTAAGCCAGCTCTGAGCAGTAGGGGCAAAAAAAGACCACCTGAGAGAAACTTGTAATAAAAGAAACCGTTAAGGGATGTGGTCATTGGACGTACCTACTCGTAAAACCTCGTAAAACCAAGGTGCTGTGAGCCGAGGAGATGGTTCATCAGGTAATTCACTTGCTGCCAACCTGAGTTCATCCCCTGGGAGAGAACTGCCTTAAGAAAGCTGTCTGCCGGCTTCTGTGTGCACACTGTGGCGTGCACGCATAACATGCCACCCCCAAATAATTAAAAATGTAATTTTAAATAGAAAACAAAAAAAAAATCAAAGTGCTAAAAATTAAAATGGTAATCACTGTTGATCTGTGATCTGGTACCGAGTACCATCTCAGAGGGAACTAGCCCGTCAGCCTTGGAAGAAGCGTGGCAAGGGCCTCAGCCGAGACTTGTCAGTGAGGCTGACAGCTGGAACAGGGTGTGTGCGTGCGGGTGGTACCCTGTGCCCACGCGTAACTGCGTTCTCCTCATCCAGATGGCTTTTGTGGCCAGCATTGTGAAGCGGGTGGCGAAGGGGCTCTCGGCCTCGCTGCAGCTGCTGACTCCCTGCCAAGCGGTCCTGTTGTACCAGCAGTTCTACATCCTCAAGAGCTGCTTGCAGTACAGCAAGGCTCTCGCCCAGGACATCAGGAGCGACCACAGCGAAGAGTTCAGGTAAGGAAGGAAAGAACGCGCCCAACCAAAAGGCTCCGCTGCTCGTTTTCGAGGACACCGCCCACAGGACCCGGTAGGTAGGGTAAACGGTGATGGAAATTCCACATTTGTTTTTAGTGTTACTTCTATTTGATCACAGGTAAGGTGGGATTGGGGACAGTTCTAAGAACCTTTGAGGGGTGTCCCCAGCCCAGAATCTACCCGTTACTCATCGTCACTGGCCTGTGCACAGCTTACATTGCATAGAAGTGTGACGATTTATTCTAGGGTAACAAGCCCTAGTGATGAAGGGGATGATACATTATGAACCGTGAGTTCAAGTCTGTTGCTGCACACGCATTGGGGGCGACCAGTCAGGAAAGGGGGACAGTAAACAAACGCACTGGGGGATCTGTTGTTGGTTTGTTTTATTTACACGTGTCACCCCCGGTGAGAGAACAGTCAGCAGCAGCAGCAGCAGCAGCCAGATGGTTCCGTCCATCCGTCCATCTGTCCCATCTGGCTCTGCCGCCCCTCAGGGTTCCACTTTGGCTTCAAGGCTAACAAGGCCAAATGCACTCAGCAATACACCCTGAGCTAACACGTATTCGAGAAAAGCTGAGGTGGTTTTTGCCATCACCGAGAAGGACGTGGCTTCACCCTTGGTTCAGAGGGAGACATCAAAAGATGCAGAGGCATCCATGATGGCTTTGTGTTGGCTTCAAAAGGAGTAAAGTCAGCCCTCTGTGTCGACTCTCTTTTTCCAGCATGTGCCATTACACCAGAAGGTCCACTCTGGATACCATAAAAGGGATTTATTTGGCTCCAAGTGGACCACCCCACAAAGCAGCCCCAGCACCCCCGCCTCCCACTTTCTAACTTCCTTTTCCTTCTCATCAGGAAAAATTGATATAGCGTGAAATTTACCCCTTCGGAGCATAAAATTGGATAGCTTTGAATACATTTCACAATATTTCTCAACTGTCATTATTGAACTGCAGAACATGGTCATTATCTAAAGGAAACCCAGTACCAGTTAAGCAGACATCCCATTCCCCCCTCCTTCTCAGCGGCTGGCAACCACTTACACTTCCTCCAGACAATCGTCCAACAAGTGACCTTTTGCCTCAGATCTTTCGTTTATCATATTTCCAAGGTTTATCCATGTTATAGCATGTATAGCACAAAACTCCTGCCCCAATCTGCTTTTCCATTTTGAGACAAGGTCTTGCAGTGGAGCCCAGACTAGTCTGGAACTCACTATGTAGCTTCAGTTGGCTTTGAACTCATTGCAAACCTCTTGCTCTAGCCCCTGTGTGCTGTAATTATAATGATCACATATGTCATCATGCCTAGCCTAATTATAAAAGACCTAGTTATAAACTATAGAAACAATCAGGACAGCTGGCAAAACAAAACAAAAAAACCGTGTCATACTCCTGGATAGCCACAGCTGGCTGGAGCTCCCAGCAGGACCCTGTCAGGAAGATTGTGTGCCCTTTGGCTAATCTCCACCCTGGGCAGTGACAGTCTTTAAAAGCTCCCCCAAGTGATTCTGTTATTCACTCAGGGCTGAGAACCATTCGATGCTACCCCCCTAGGGGATGGCTGAAGGCTGTCTACATTCTTATGTAGAAGCCTCTATGTAGAGGATGTGGGAGCTAATCCCTTGCTCTTTCCTCTTGACTGGTCCTGATGGGTTAGCTGAGCTTGCCCCCCCCCCCCATCTGCCCCTTTCTGTGCACTGTCTGAGGAACCCAAACATCAGAATTCTTGCACATACTTTGGTGAAAACAGTCCTGTCCTGTCTTGGTTACTGCCTCCATGGCAGTATTAACTCCTTTCCACTATTTCCACTATTAATTCCTTTCTCAAGTGAAGTATGTATGCTCACTGAAATGCACATATAGCAAAGACTTTCTCGGTCCTGAGTACAGGAGGTTGGAAGTCTGAAAATGTTGCGTCTCGTGGCTAGGACTCCCCCCATCCCCGACCTTGTGCAGTGAGTGTGAACACACTGGCTGAGCCAATGTGAAAATTCTCGTTTTTAATGGTGTTTTGTTTCTCTGTGTCTTGCAGGTACTTCATTCATATGCCAGCCTTGGAAAAGCGGCTCCCTGTGTGCTACCCTATTACGGAGCCCACCACTCAGCTCTGTCACGAAGTTCTACAATTGATTGAACAGAAACAATATGCAAAATTTTAGAGGAGATGAAATATAAAGTGTTTATTGAAGTCCATATTTACGAGAAACAGCCTTTTGACTTATTTACTATCTGGCTCTCCTTGAGAGAATCTTGTAAAGCTTTTAGTTAAATGTTCATTAGCACCTCTTTAGGAAGCCTTAACTTTTTAAGTAACTGTGCCTAGGCTGAGAGCATGCAGCTCAGTGGGATAGCCCTCGCCTAGCATCTGTGAAGACGTGGGTTCAAGATCCTGCACAGGAAAAATGGAACAAAAAGCTAAGCACCACAAACACCGTCTAAATTTTTCTTGACATGTGTAAAGTGGTGTGCCTCTCCAGAATGAAAGATTTCTCACAGATGTGAAACACAGTACAGGGCACAGAAGCACAGAGCAGCTCGGTGTGCAGAATCTATCTGGTGGGCTCTGTTGGTGCAATAAGGGTGATTGGTAGAAGCCACTGGAACACCCACAGCTGGACGGTTGTAGGAAGTACAGACTACACAGTGAACTTGAGAGAGGTGCCCGGCAATGCACGGCACCTTCTCCTTCACCTGGAAATCTTCTACGGCTAGAGTATCGGGGCAGCAATGGGCAGGGGAGCAGTCACAGGTGCACAGGCCAAGAAGGGAAACAGGCTGGAGTTCCTGTGGCAGAGCACCTGCTTCCTGCCTGGGGGGTGGGCAGTCTGAGCAGTCCTGTGGAAGGGAGGCTACTCTTGAACTTCACGGCTCTCACAACCACTCACAAAGGGCTTCCACCACACTGTGTGGCCATACACTAATAGAGTCCCCAGATCCTCCCTGTGAGCTGTTGGGTTTGGACGTCTAAGAACACCAGAACTGGGTTTTCTGTTCAGCATATGATGGCCTGAGGAAGGACCAGAGGAAAGTCTCTGAAGAAAGTGCTCCCTGGCCAGCTTGGCCAGCGGCGGGCAGCGGAACCACAGCTGGGGACTTCACCGAGGAGGTTCTCTTAGGTTCTCTTAGGTTCTTGCCATTAATTTGTCCAGCAATATTTAAATCAATTATTTTACAGTGACCATTTTTTAATACTATAACATTTGCATAACTTTTGACTGATTGTCCAAGACATTTTTTTTAGATTTAATACTTATACAGCTTTGTAAATATTCTAAATATAGACCTATTTTAGCTGTCGATGTAACTCAGATGATGGTAGGGCACTTGCCTAGCGTGTGGGAGGCCCTGGGTTCAGTGCCCAGCACCACACACTCACACACTCACACACACACACACACACACACACACACACACACACACACACAGTAAAATCGGCTTCTAAATATGAGATTTTGTGTTTAAAATGTACCCATGGAGACCCTTTTAGCTTCTCAAATTGCTCCACGGAGAGACTGTAGGTGGGTGAGGAGGGATCCTTCTCATTTGTTCCCGATCTCAGATGCATCAAGACGGTGCTCATCTGCAGCCGCCTCCTCACTCCGCTCGGCTCCCCGCAGGCCGTCCTCGCAGCTCCAGTCCTGACTTAATTCACCAGCGTCACAGGTCCCCCCCATTTGCAAGGTCTTATGTGCCTGTTTTATTGTCAGCACAATACTAAGTACACAGAGGCAGAGCCATTGTAAGACTTTTCAGAAAATCATAAACGCAGGCCTGAGCTTTCAACTCAGAAACAGCCCGGTATACCGTGACTTGCAAAATAATGTTTTGACACATCGATAAAAATATTTTTTGTCTGCAGATTATTTATAATAAATTGTTAGTCTTATTTGTATGAATTTTTTTTAGTTTGACTTTTAAAGGTCTTAGGTATTATAATTTTGCAAAAATAAATGTACAGGAAATGAAACCTTCGTTCAGGAATCTCGTTTCTAGTTCTGACTCACATGACTAACTATTTGACCTCAAGCCAGTAGGTGCTCTTTCTAGGCCTTGTCTGTCTCTTTCTGTTCCTCTGTTGTGTAGCAGGATGAGGCTGGATGGTCTCCAACTTCCCGTTAGTGTTCCCTGCCTGTAAACAACACTTTGTTTATTGAAATAGGGTCTGACATAGCCCAAGCCTTGAGTGCTCCATATGGCCAAGGGTGACTTTGAACTCCTGATCCTCCTGCCTCCATCTCCGAAGCGCTAGTACTGCAAGTATGAACTACCACGCCTGGCATTGGACACAACACTCCTTTTGTTGTATTTCTATGTGTGGGTTTGTAGAGGCCAGAAGGGGGTCCCATTGGATCCCTTAGAGCTGGAGTCACAAGGAGTTGTGAGCACCCTGATGTGAGTGAACTCTGGTTCTCTGGAAGAGCAGCAAGTGCTTTGAACCATCGAGCCATCCCTCTGGCCCCTGTACATGAGACTTACCACTCTGAAATGGTGTAGTGTGTTCCTCTGCTCGGTTGGCTTAGTAGATTCCAAATAATCCTGCATCTCTGTGTCATCAACTCTACCACAAGGTGTCCAAGATCTCTCCTTTGGATCTGAAGCATTCGGTGGTGAAAGTCTCAGCATGAGTCCTTGTCTGAACATCAGGCTAGCATGACTTTGTGATAGACTCCCTCCCAATGCTCTCTTTAGACCCTGGTCTACCTACTTACCTGACAAGAGAGCTTGGTTAGCCAAGCTCTTTCAGAGCCTCTGTATAATCAATTATAACATGAAACCCTTTGAAGAGTTTCTATATATACGAACGTTCATACAAGTATCTATTTCTGTGGTTAGTTTGTATTAGAATGAAACATATGTCCTTGCCGTTTTGGGGTCCAAAATTTTTGAGAGCTTCAATCCCATGTAGCCCCGAGAAGTAGAAAACCCTGAAAGATGGAGGTTATTATACTAATGGAATCGCTAACTCGCTTAGGGTCTTCGTGTTTAAATGTATATCATTCAGTCTAATTTTCAAGGTTGTATCGCGCTTTGCTGTAACATAACTTATTCTCACACAGATTTGGATAAACCATGAATCAAGTCACATAGTCCGGTTACACATCGTTGAGCAGGCATAGAATGCTTTATCCGAAAATAAAAAGCTTTTCTTCTACCAGTGTTTCCCCCTCGTCCATTCACCTCACTCTTCAGAGGTTACTGAGAGGTCTTTTCCTAAATGTAATTCAGCAGCTGCCGTTAGAACAGTCCCTTCAGGACACATTCCTGCCCTGCTGACATCTCACCCTCACCGGTGACAGCTTACGTTCTTTTTTTTACAATTTATTTTTATTTTATGTACATTAGTGTTTTGCCTGCATGTATGTCTGTGTGAGGGTATCAGATCTTGAAGGTACAGACAGGTATGAGCTGCCACATGGGTGCTGGGATTTGAACCCCGGTCCTCTGGAAGAGCAGTCAGTGCTTTTAACTGCTGAGCCATCTCTCCAGTCCCATCCAGCTTACATTCTTTTTTTTTTTTTTTTTTAAGATTTATTTATCTATTATGTATACAGCATGTTTGCCTGCAGGCCAGAAGAGGGTGCCAGATCTCATTACAGATGGTTGTGAACCACCATGTGGTTGCTGGGAATTGAACTCAAGACCTCTGGAAGAGCAGTCAGTGCTCTTAACTGCTGAGCCATCTCTCCAGCCCCCAGTTTACATTCTTAAGCCCTGGAATCTACTCTCCGAAGAGGGAGTGGAGTCAACTGACCAGCAAGGAATCAGTAGAATTTCTGCTTAAAAACCTGTATGTTACTTCCTATTGCTCAAGATTCAATCCTAAGCCCCTTGGTGGCCCTCACAGCCTTTGGAAACCTAGTCTGCTGACTGCCGCTGTTATCCATGTTATTCTCACTCACTGCTCCCCTCTCTTCTGGACCTGCAGATGAACATTCCAAGCTGTTCCCAACCCTGGACATTTGCACCTAAGGAACTTACCCCTTGACTTTCAAATGCCACTTCAAAAAGACCTTTGCTCACTCTAAGGTGGCCTCCCACCCACGACAATACTTCTTAAAATATTTTATCACTTTGTCTGTTCTTTGCCCTGTAAGAATTTTTTTTTTTTTTTGGTTTTTTTTTTCGAGACAGGGTTTCTCTGTGTAGCTTTGAGCCTTTCCTGGAACTCACTTGGTAGCCCAGGCTGGCCTCGAACTCACAGAGATCCGCCTGCCTCTGCTTTCCGAGTGCTGGGATTAAAGGCGTGCGCCACCACTGCCCGGCTGCCCTGTAAGAATTTAAACTCCACGAGGGTCAGGCTCTCCTTCACTATATCATATATTCCCAGTTCCTACAATATTGCCTGGCTCACAGTACCTTCCCTGTGTCGAATGAATGAAATAAGAAAACATTAATTAGTCTGAGGGTTAATTAACGGCCCCAACATTTCATTATAATTTGTTTTTAAGGTCAGTGTAATCTATGTTCTCCAACGATGACCAGAGCGATGTTACCACGACAGTTACTCGCGGTTCCCCACCTCAAGAGTGGGAGCTTGGGGCTGGAGGACTGGCTCAGCAGGAAGTGTTTCCTGCACAAGAATGAGGGCATGGGGTCAAATCCCCAACACCCGTAGAAGAAGTCAGGCATGGTTGTACACATGTCTGTCACCCCAGGGCTGTGGTAGACGGGTGGGTAGGCAGGTTAGCTGGGGGCAGGAGGATTAGTGTGGTTTTCTGGCTGCCAGTCTATCTCCAGGTTCAGTGAGAGACCTTGTCTCAAGGGAATAAGGCCAAGGGGATGGAGCAGAATTCCTGACATGCTCCTTTGGTCTCTATTCATGCTTGTGGGTGAGTGTATATGTATACACGTGTTCATGCACTACACAGTACAGCACACACACACACACACACACAACCTGAAGAAGAAGAAGAAGGAGAAGGAGAAGAAGAAGAAGGAGAAGAAGGAGAAGAAGGAGAAGAAGAAGAAGAAGAAGAAGAAGAAGAAGAAGAAGAAGAAGAAGAAGAAGAAGAAGAAGAAGAAGAAGGAGAAGAAGAAGAGAGTTGGAGCCTATGTGGGAGCGCATTTTCAGGTTCCTTGTGGCTTTACCCAGCAGGTCCACATAGAGAAGATGATTAGGACCACGGGCCTGAGTGCAGGTGTCTGAGATGGTCTGCACTTGGCTGTGCTGCTGGGGAGGTCTTTTGCGCCACCCCTTGGCATCTATAAATACCTTGGGGCAGAGACAGTGGGGGCTCATTGGAATAGGGTGCAGGCCCTCTCGAGGTTATCTTTCATTTCCTCTCTGTTGATCTCCACACTCTAAATCCTTCTCTCTAATATTTCCTGCTGCTTGCACTCAAGAAAACTCTGGGGAGCTGTGGGGTTGGTGGGTAAACGCCCCGCAAGCCTACACCCCTTTTCTTCGGATGGACCTGTGATATTCTGACTAAGATTACGTGGAGGAGTAAAGTTCATGACTGCAGAGCCTAGGTGCTGTGGAATAATCCTTTTCTACACTATGAATATGTATTACTCTCGTTGGTTAATAAAAAGCAGACAGGCCAGTAGCTGGGCAGGAAGTTAGGCTGGAAAGCCAAACTGAGAATGATGGGAAGGAGACGGACTGAGTCAGGGGAGATGCCAGCCAGCTGCCCAGGAAGCAAAACGTGCTAGAGGACAGGTAAAGCCACGAGCTGTGTGGCAAAATAAAAATTAATAGAAATGTGTTAATTTAAATATAAAAGCTAGTTAGTAATAAGCCTGAGCTATCGGCCGAGGATTTTCAAATAATATTAAGTTTCTGTGTGTTTGTTAATTTGGAAGCAGCTACCAGGGCAGGGAGGGGGCCGTCAGGACAGGAAATGTCCATCTACACCTAGGTTTGTTTTGTTTTTTAATATGCAACTCTGTATGTCTGTGCATGTGAGTACTCACATGATCCCTCAGAGCTGGGGTTGCAGGTGATTGTGAGCCACCATGTGGCTATTGAGACTTGAACTTGGGTCCTCTGCAAGAGCAGCTGGTGCTCCTTACCACTAAGCCATCTCTGCAGCCCCCCCTCCCCAGTCTAATTTTTAAGGTCTCTCAGCTGCTGCCTCTACCCCCTTAGAGACTGAGTCACCATGCATGAAAGACGGAAGACGGTACCATGGGCAGACAGAGACCAACAAGAATACGGTACCAGCTGCCACGCTTGCTACGACCTCAGAAGAGACCCTGCAGACTGTCCAGAGTTCTAAGACAGCACCAAGTGTGGGTTTAAGCCTGTCGGTGGTTTGTTACACAGCAATAGACAAAACAGTCTCAAACAACTTCATCTGTTGCTCCTCAGAAGTAAACCTTTTAGCCATGTTAGAGTAATTCCAAATTAAATAATTCACCACCAGCAGGCCACTCTAAGCAACCCAAGGGATTCACCTGGCCATGCACTCCCCCAGCTTCCCCCACATCGCTAAAATCACAAGATCTCCCTTTATTTTTCTGAGTGGATTTGAGAACATCCTGCATGGCTTTTATAGCCCCTTGATTTTAAAAATATTTGTTTATATACTGGAGTCTGTGTCCTAACTGTCCCTTTACAAATGATAGCTGATCACCTTAGAAGCCAAGCGTCAACCAGGTCAACTAAGATTGCCTCTTTCAGCCAGGCAGTGGTGGTGCACGCCTTTAATCCCAGCACTCGGGAGGTAGAGCCAGGTGGATCTTTGTGAGTTCCAGGCCAGTCTGGTCTTGCCTCTTCCCTCAGCCCTTCCCCTTGTAGCTTCTGGAAGGGACTGTGGGAAAGTGTTACAAAGCTGGAGACGAGAGACCTTGGGTGTTCCTTGGCGGTAGCTGGGGACCAGAGTCCTTGGGTGTTTCTTGGCGGTAGGTCTGGGAACTCCTTGGTGTGAGGAAACCTTGTAT